CAAAAAAAGGTATTTTTGGTTCTTTTCATATTCGGGAGGTTACTGTTGTAATGATTAATTTTTTATTCGTTTTTATTTTGTTTTTAGTTTTCAATATATAATTTCCATTCAACAGTACCTAAAAATAAAGAAAATTGCAACACTAAAAGCACTCATAAACACCTTTGCAAGTTGTAAATTGAAAAATATGTACAAACAAAGAATAACCAGTAGAGTGAGGTTGTCGTAATACACACATTTTCCATTTCCAGTAACAATTCGACACAAAAAACTATGTTTTTTTGTGTTCTTTGAGATGTTTTCTGCATGCTGAAATTCGCGCTTCGAGCTGATTTTCAGTCAGTTGATGTGGTACCCGTTTTCCTAATTTTCGGATCGTTCCCATTGCATGCAAACGTCTTGAAATGGTTTTTTGGTCGACATTCAACTCCAGTGCAAGTTCTTTTTGCGTTCGGGCTGAGTTTTCGTCCAATAATGCTTGCAATTCTTCATCTTCAAACTTTTTTGGCTGACCTGGGCGATCTTTGTCTTGAACATCAAAATCACCACTTTCAAATCGTTGAAACCACTCGTAACATTGTGTTTTTGCGAGAATATGTTTGCCATACAATTTCACAAGTAAACAATGACTTTTAGCTGCAGTTTTCTTTGCAAAAAAATAGCTAAACAAAACTTCTCGCGAATGCTGTTTTTTTCGCCAATTTTCAAAATTTTCCATCGTTGAAAAAAAATATGATGCGCACAAACAGTGAAACACTCTTGACTGATTTTGACAGCATTTGAATAGGCCTTTCAAACGACGTACATGTCATTGATCTATTACAACGCACAAGCAAGTGGTGACATCTGATGTCAGATTCCGGAAATTAATGCCTACACCCAATATACTGGGCTTGAGTTTTGTGGTCTTGACCGAAGTGATGGCAGTTCGGTATATAAAATAACTCGTGAGTATCATTTATTGAGCTTAACCGATAGTATATTGATGTTGATTCATACTTACTAACTGAGTTTATTTTTTCTCTTTTTTCTTTCCATTGCGACGTAGAAAATGACTGAAACTACACTCAAATCCGACCCCAATATTGACCGTCATTATATGCCCGATAATGGATGAATTTGCCACAACAAATGTTTTTTAGAGAGTACAAATTGAGTATAAAATATTGTCATATTTAGTTTTCCGATCAGATGAGTTTTAAAAAAAGTTGTACAAGGACATACTTCCCGCTTATTACAAATTCTAAAAATGGCAGTACAAATTAGTACGAATTGAGTACAAATTAATTATTATTAAAACAACTCCTAGCTCAAAATCACTCGTGACAACTCACAGAGCCCAAAAATTTATCGGCTTATATTTAGTATTTCATCTTATTGCAAGAATGAATAAACACGAAAGTTTAACTAAACCTAAATAAAATTAATTTGTTCACGCTACCTTATGGCACCAATTAGGGGATATTTCACATTCCCACCACAAATATTCCCGCTGAAGTCGTCCATATCAATAGTCCATACCATAGCACCACCATAGCCATTATCTTTTATCCAGCTCATTTTATGACGAATTGATTTTTCATCATCAAAACCAACCCATTGATCGCCATCGATCAGATAGGGCACTTTCATTTCATCATCCCAAACGTAAACGGCCCCATTTAAGAGCATTTCACAAATTTCGTAATATGCCAGAAAACCACCTTCTTTTGTGTATTCACCTTGTTTACCACCCCCAGATGCAGGTGAGTTTGGGCTCGTTTTAGCATTATTTGCCAAAGTGAATGTACGTCCATAGGTGGGCATTCCAACAACTAATTTCTCTTTCGGAGTACCTAACTTAACCCATAGCTTTGCTGCGTTATCTACAGACAATTGTTTGCGCCACTCAGAATCAGAAGATGGTGCATATAGAGGTGCATTGTGTCCAGTTTCTCGTTCCCATTTACCATGAAAATCATAAGCCATTAAATTTATGAAATCCAAATAACTTGCGACAGCTGGTACATCGTAGCCACCTCGAACATTATCGGGACCAACAGGAACAGCCGCAGTAAGAAGCAAACGTGGTTTTAAAATCTCTTGAGCTTCAGCATCAAACGCTTCTTTCAGTTCTATAATAAATTAAATGGTTATTTATATTTATGTGTTTTTTGAATATATAATAGACAATGATTGTATAATGGGTATATGTTGTCATTTGACGTAATCTTCAAAATCACATAGTTGGTTTGTGCATATCTTTCAATATAATATTTTGCCTTCATCTCAAAGGTGACCAACTTTTTTTTCGCCCATTGTTTATTTAAATGAAAAATCAATCTTAAAAATAAAAAATAATAAAAATAAATCTGAAAAATATAAATAAATGTAAAATAAAAGCTGCTAATCAGGTGAAAACTGAAGTTTAGTTAAAAATAAGTTGATTATGAAGAATAAATTGAATTTTTGTCGAGAGTAAACTATTTTTGATCTTTGACATGCATAGAAAACGATTATTATGGCAAAAAATTGCAAAACAGTGATAAAAGTTTAATTGATTTAGAAGTAAATTTATCAACAGTTAAACAAAGAATAGAAAATTATTTAAAGCAAAACAGATAAATACAAAATGTTTATTATGGATTAGTAGTTGCAAAATTAATTTATGAATATTATATTATTTACATGTAAGGAGAGAAGCAACAATTTTTCAGTTACACTCTCAAAAATGCTTGATAAAAATACAAATTATATCATATTATATTTATTTAATCAAAATATTTTCAATAAACCACCAAGGCGAAGGAACGCTGTTCGGTGCAGTTATTATTATTATTATTATCATTGAATTTTTGGGAATCGTCGGAATAGTGAGAATAGTAAAAATAGCGAGAATAATGGATTAGCTGCAAATGAAGAATATTGCAAACGGTGTCTACCCCCTCCCCTAGCTATTTCCTTAAAAGAAACTATTCCGAAAGAAATTTGATCAATTTTAAATCAAAATAAAATGTCTTACATCCGTATGATGAACTTTCCCGCACTGTGATCCACAACATGCATTTATTACATATCTTTTACTGTAATTTGAATTCACGAGAAAACTGAATCTGACATTAGTTTTACGATACAAATAATTTTCGAAGCACTTTTCATACAAAAAATACTAAAAATGGGAATTTTTGTATCGCAGCCATGCCTATATGATATCGTATCAAGTGAAAATTTGCAGAGGTTATTTTTCTCACAAAAAATTAACATTCCGAGAGTTTGGAAAACGTTCAATTAAAAATAAGGGTACTTTCCATACAAAATTTCGTTTTTGAGCGAAAAATCCAAAATTTTGTTCGGGGGGTACCCCTAATATGCATTGAAATGTCTTCAAACTCTCGGAATGGTATTTTCGTGTGATAAAAATAACCTGTGCAAAGTTTCAGCTCATTACGATATCATACAGGCATGGCTTCCATACAAAAATATAAATTTTTTGAAATTTTTGTATGAAAAGTATGTCGAAAATGAATTGTATCGCAAAACTAACGTCATATTCGGTTTTCTCGTACCCAAAAACCCCCCAGTACACATTTTTGAGTGATTAAGAATACATTAAATATCACTTTTGGAAGAAAAATTGAATTTTTCCCATGGATGGCCATGGGCATCACACCAGGCATGACACTTTACTCTATCAACCAAAGTCGCTAAAAATCTAATGGTTTCTATTCCTCGGCACCCCCAATCATCCTGTGAAGTCAGATTTTGAATTACTTTTCTTGTTTGAAAGTTATCGTGTCAACAAATTTTTGCGTACAGGGTACAGGGTACAGGGTGCGCACATACATTCGGACATCGAAAAAACTCTAGATTCGTGTTCCCTGGCCCCAAAAACAACCAGAAAACACATTTTTGATAGGTGTTAATTTTTCGACCGATTCCAATACTTTACCTTACACACTAGGTGTGTGCGGAAAAGTAAAAACACCCCAACACATTACTTCATCACCGTGGGAACTTGTGAAGCTGTTTTTCGTGCCAAAATGCATAATCTCACCAAATTTGAAATAATTTCAATCAAAAGGAGGGGAACTCCCCATATAACATTTCCGATTTTTGGCCCAAGAACGAAAAATTTGTATGGGAGGAATCCCTAATTTTGAATGAAATGTTATTCTACTTTTCCGCACACACCTACCGGACAACATCGGGCAACATTTAGTTCGTGTATTTTTGACATTTCATGGAATGTGATATGAAACGTGTTTGAGAAATTTCGAGTATTTTATTAAAATTAAAGTGAGTTTAATATTTTGATAAAATAACAGTGAAAAAATGTTTGAAAATATATGTGTTGAAGATGTCAAAAGGTAAAATTTTATGTAAATATTTTTATGTTCTTTAATGAATATTCATACATCATTTTTTTGCTGAGTGCGGTAAAAACGGGTAAAAAGAAATATATTTGTGCCACAGACAGCAGTGTATTTTCCGATATTAGCATCCATTTGCAATCGTTTGCAATCAATTTATCTGTCGATACCGGTCAGTGCATATATGTGTTACAGCTGGAACAAAAATGTGCTGTATGTAGCACAAATGTACTTATACGTTTATGGAACGCTCGACAGCACTAATAACAAACTTATAAACAAATGGGTGCGTT